CTTTTTCTCCTTCTTCTTTGCTCCTCCCCCATTCTTCACCTTGCACTCATAGGACTTGTGACCTTCCTTGTGGCACACGTAACAAACTACGGTTTGTCCTTCATCAAGCTTCTTCACTCCCTTGACGGTGTTATCTTGATAAAGTTGGGTTTGCTTCGCCTTGCCTTTCACTTGAGTCAAGTCCTTGGTGAGGCGAGCTACTTCTTGCTTGAGTTGCTCATTCTCCTTTGCAACCTCTTGTGTGCATTATCTACAATAACTTTCTCAACACAAACTTGGTTGCACAAAGGTGAGTCTAAACATAAATCTTTATAAGAAGTAGAGGCATCCTTTTTAGACATGTTAAAGATAGAAGTTTTCCTTTTAGATGCCTTGGTGGGGGTTGTGCTAATGGCTTCAAGATTAGCAACTTTATTAGTTAGCTCATCATAATGTTTGCACATGGTTTCCATTTTAGCAAGCAAACTATTATATGCTTCTTGTGAACTAGCTAACTTTTCTTTTAATTTTTCATTTTTCTTTAAGAGTTGTTCATCATTGATTGTGCATGCATTTGTTGTTGCACTAGTCTCAAGTTTCTCAATTTTAGTAGATAGTTCAACATTGAGATTAGCAAAGTTCTCATATTGTTCAAGCAAGGTTTTGTACGCTTTTTGTGAACTATCTAGCTTTTCTTTTAAACTTTTGAGCTTCTTTTGTTGACTAGTGCAAGCTTTAGCATAATTAAGATTTTCTTGCACAAGTTCATGATAAGAAGGCATATCATCATCACTATCACTCTCACTAGAGGAAGAGCTTTCGTTACCTCGTGCCATAAGGCACACACGAGAAGAGCTTGATGATGAGTGCTTGCGGCCTCGCCTCTTGTGATGAGGTTCTTCTTCACTTGAAGAATCATCCCATGATCTTATTGATGTGAGGGCTTGGTTCTTGCATGCCTTCTTCTTTGTCTTGGGTGTGGGCTTGTTTGGACAAACTTCCACAAAGTGCCCCAACTCGCCGCATCCATAGCATCCTCTCTTTCTTTGCTCTTTTCTTTGATTTGTGAAAATGAAATCTTGAATTTGGATGGGCACACCCTTGACATTGAGCCTTTGGATCATCTTCTCCACCTTGTTGATCACTTTGATTGATTCTTCATCAAGATCGGAGGTGGAGGAGGAAGATTGATCATCACTTGAATCTTCATCATCATCATCATCGTCCTCATCTTCTTCTTCATCTTCACTTGAGGAACTTGAGCTTGAGCTTGTCTCAACTTGCTTGCCCTTTATCTTCTTTTTCTCGCTACAAGCGAGAGCTTTGCCTTTGCTTGATGAAGAAGCTTCTTCTTGACCCATCTTACGTGACATTTCAAATGCCACTAACTTGCCAATGGCTATGCCCGGGGTCATGTTGCTCAAGTCCTCCATGTTGTGAAGGATGGTGATGATTCTTGCATATTTCTTTTGTGGTAGCACGGAGATGATCTTCCTCACGATGTCCGCATCATCTAGCTTTAATAATCCTATAGAATGGAGCTCATTGATAATTAGATTCAGACGAGAATACATATCACGAACAAGCTCATCGTCATTCATAGTAAAGGAATCATATTTTTGCTTTGCTAGACAATGTTTTTGCTCACGGACATTGCTTGTGCCGTCATGGAGCTCTTGGAGTTTTAACCAAATTTCATGGGTCGTATTTAAAGTGAATACTTGGTTAAAAACATCCATACTAAGTGATTCAAACAAGCAATTTTTAGCTCTAGCATTGAAGTGCATTTCTTTTTCATCACTCTTTGTGGGTTTTTCGGGATTCTTGATGGGTTTCATCCCATCACGAGTGACTCTCCATACACCCAAATCAACCGCCTCAAGGTGGCAAGCCATTCTAGCTTTAGAGTATGGGAAGTTAGTGGCGTCAAAGTGCGGAGGCCTAGCGGTATCCATCCCAACCACTCTAAAATAGCGTCGGCTCAACGGCGGTTAAGCCAAAGGTCCAAATTAAGCCAACCGGCTTTGATACCAATTGAAGGGACCGTGACGCCTAAGAGCGGGGGGGGGTGAATTAGGTAACTTAAAAAACTAACTCTAAAATAGCGTCTCTTTTTCTAACCCTAGCAAAACCTATGCAAAAGATAAACTATCTAAATGTGCAATTACGGTTTTGCTAATGTGTTGCTATCTCTACCACAAACGTAGTAAAATAATCAATGTAAATGTGGCAGCTAAAGAGCAAGGTAGAGATATGCAAACTCCCATCGACGACTCCGGTATTTTTACCGAGGTATCGAGAAGCAGGCAAGCTTCCCCCTAGTCCTCGTTGGAGCCCCTCGCAAGGAATCCCTCGCAAGGGCCAAGCTCCCGGTCGGGTAACTCCATGGATAGCCTCGGGCCTTCCCCACGCGCAAGTGGGTCTCCGACGTGCCTTCCGGCAAGCCTCTCCCGGATGCACCCCGCCATCTTCACTATCAAGCTTCCGGCCGAAACGCCGTGGGCCTTATTCCCTCCGGTACACGGTGGCGGCCACACCACAAACGCGGTTGGTGTGATCTCGTAAGACTTCAAGCCCCTCCGACGTACAATAATGGTGCTCGCAAGCACCGAGTGGTAAGAGGTATGAAAACCTCACTAAACACTAGGCCTAAACCTAGAGCAAGCGCATAAGCGGTGGTCTAATCAACCTAAGCACTTCGCAAAGCACCTACGCTAATCACCTGATGAATCACTAAGCACTATGCAAGTGGAGATCAGTAAAATGGTGTATCAACACCCTTGGTATGTTTCCTTAGCTCCACCCTTTTCAAATAGCCGGTTGGGGGTTGTATTTATAAGCCCCACTGAGAAAGTAGCTGTTGGGGTTGAACTCCCGCAATTCTGCTACTGACCGGACGCTGAATCGTCCTGACCGGACGTGTCCGATCGTCCCGACCATTGAACCACGAATCACTGATCGGACGCTGCCAGCGTCCGATCACCTGCCACCGGACATGTCCGATCGTAGTTTCGCCGTTCTAGAACCTCTCTGTACTCGATCGGACACTGCTTCCCTACGTCCGGTCGATTTCACCGCCCGCGTTCGGTCGTCCCGACTGTAGAGCCACCGGTCCAGCGTTCGGTTGTCTCGAGTGCAGAGCCACCGGTCTAGCGTCCGGTTGTCCCGACTGTCGAGCCACCAGCGTCCGGTCGTCCCGACTGCCGAGCCACCAGCGTCCGGGCCAGCGTTCGGTCGCCTCTGCGAGCTCGTTTCTTCACGTTCTTGCGTACGGCTTGGTTCCTATCTTCATGCTTGGACTTTGCTTGATATCTTAGGTCTTTTCTTGTGCTTCTAAGGTCTTGCTTAAGGTGTTGATCATCGGATCATCACGTCGCCTTCGTCCAAGTCACGTCTTGCACCCTATTGAACTACAAAATAAACACTTGCAAATTCATTAGTCCAATTTGGTTGTGTTGGTCATCAAACACCAAAATCCAAAGTAAATGGGCTAAGGGTCCAATTTCCTTACAAATTGCTCGGCCGCCAAAGACCCTCAGTTATTGCTTTAAGCTGCACGAGCATATACGCATACTACCATCATGCAGCTGGATCAAGGAGTTTGTCAACGTCTTGTCAACGTCCAAAACTTGGACCTTGAGGTAACCTTACAGGAACAACATGACATGCAGGTCATCCTGGATCATTTAGTACATCGTACCAATGGGCCCATGAAACGTCTCTGTATCAAGCCAGTTCAAGATGATGCGCTCATATATGCATTAATGATGAGCGGAAGTTCGCTAGGTTACGACTTGAGATCCTTGAAATTGTTGGAACCACAAACTGACAGGCAACTATTGGAAATATACAAATTTGGAAGATAAAATATCGCAAACATGTCAATTCACTACCGGCGATAAGGGGATTAGAAAGATTTAGAGGGGCCAAAACAGCGTCACAATTCGGCCATTTAAAGACTGATTTAGGTTTAGATCCAAAAGCAAAGTTGGTTATACTCAACTCAAACTACAACTTATATTAAAGATCAAACTTTATATCTAGAAAAGAAACTATAGTTTTACCCTGGTCAAAATAGCATCATAAAAAAATGAGTTAACTGTTGATCCAACACTTAGAAGCATTTTTAGGCTAGTTCATGAACATAAACCCTAGATCATTTTTTATCTTAAGTATTTCTAGACTGTTTTAAGTGATCAAACAAGTCACTGTAAAAAAATCTAGAGTTAGCCACATTTCTCAATATCCAAGTCTTTGTAAAAATTAAAATTTATCAATTTCCATAGCTCGACGCCAAAATCCACGGCACCGAGCTCATGCCACATTCGCGCCATGCAAGCAGCCACGTCAACGACACGCAGAAAATGACTCTAGACCTCGGCGCCAAAACAATTGGCGCCAAGACGTGTAAGCTTGGCACCAATTGTCACGGCGCCGAGGTCAGGGTCTATTTTTTGAAAGGATACTGTCAGGAGCGTGTTTGTGAAAATCTTTCAAAAAAATGGCTGAAAAACAAAAAATTCGGGCCTATCTGCTCCCTAGTGGTTAGACAAATTCTGCCATAAACATAATTAGACGGATGGTCGGGTCGGGTGCCAACTTAATCACCAACGATCCATTGAGTCATGACTGTTGAACTAGGTGTTGCAAATTAGCTGTTGAACTTGTGTACTCTGTACATGTTTTCTTTCTTTGGAAGTTTATAAAATTCAGTTGGGCCCTCCCATCTTGTTTGGTCAAAAAAATGTTGTTCACATAACATGAGAAAAACCAAATAAAAATTATGCACAAACAATTTTTTTAACAGGTCATGCATGCAGATTTGTGACACAAGAAAAATACAGTAACACAAATTAAGGAGCTCCTAAAAAGTGACACGACATGAGGAACACATTACTCAAAAGTACACAATTGGTAACTGATACAATTATTTTGTCCATGATACCATATAGAGCAAATCGCCATGCATGGGTCTGCAACATAGTTTTCACTTGCATATATAGTATGCAGGAGTTCATCATTCAGGGAGCATGCCTTCCGTTGAGCTTGTCAACAATTTCAACTATAGAAGGTCTCTTGTTCTGATCAACATCCACGCATTTTAGCCCGATTTCGATGCATGTTCTTACTTCCTGGAGGCTGCCTGCATCTAGTAGTGCTGAGTGCTTGGATGCAATGTGCTCATCTGTCCACGTTTCACGCACCTACAGAGTTAAGAGGTGTGAGCTTAAGTGACAACATTAAGCAAGTAAAAAAAATGTTTTCCAGTCTTGGTCTTGCCTTATCTACAAAGTCCCTCGCTGACATGTCTTGTTTGCCTGAAAAATTCTTCTCACCTGTTGTGATCTCCATGATTACCACACCTAAGCTATATATATCGGACCGGGTTGATATTCTGGAGCCATATACCCTCTGGGAAGCGTGAATGTCAAACGAAACAATAAGGATCATAGGACAATGCAATTTGATTTGATTTATTATTTAGAATAAAAAATAATGGAATTTATTGGGCTTACTTTTTTCTCACAACATTTATTGTGTTTATTCGGGTTTGCTCTTCACCGAAGAGTCTTGACAGGCCGAAATCCGTGATTTTCGGTACCATGTTTTCATCCAACAATATGTTGCTAGGCTGAAGATCCAAATGAACAATTGGCCTATCCATTTCCTTATGCAGGTAACGTAAGCCCTGGCAGATGCCCTTGATTATCTCGAAGCATGTCTTCCAGGTCTAAAAGATGCATCTGAAGAATGAAAACATGGGTCATGTATTTACATACATCTCAGAAAATTAATGACAAAACAAATATATGCATGTTGGATAGCGGCATAGCGCGCGCGTTCTTATTGCATACCGAAAATATACTGTCAAGGTTTCCGTTAGGCACATATTCATAGTAGAGCATGCTCTCAACCACGTCGACAATGATGTATCTTCCACTGTGCTCGATCACTTTCTTCTGCGGTTCGTGGCAGTAGCCGAGTAACCTCACTATATTCTGATGCTGCATGGCCATGAGATTCCCAACCCCAATCGTGAACTGCTTCTCAGGTGCCACCGGCGCATTATCTGAAAGCTTTTTCACAGCAATCTTCTCCCCATCTTGCAGAATGCCCTGTTATTTTGACTTCTTATTAGACACTGTGATCGGTGTGCGCTTATTGGACAATATTCTAAAACTGGATAACATTATTGTTGAGCATAGTGGTATGGTACCTCATAAACAGTTCCAAATGCACCTTCACCAAGCTTTCGAGCATCAAAGAACCCTTCCCACAGTGATTCTTTCAGAACTGTGCTGGTGGGTTAGTCGGCAAGGTGTTCAGAAGACTCCACTTGCTGGCCATTCCTGACGGTTTGACGCAGCTGCAGATCAGAGATAGTTAAACAAGATTTATTGCAACTTCAACTCCAGCAAAATATGGCAATTTTTCATGAACATAGTACATATATATAGACGAGCATAACACAACACAGATTTTTGCACAAACTGGAATGTTGTGAAACCAAACGAAAGTAAGCAGCTTGTCAGGAGCACTGACCTAGCTAGAGCAGAGAACTTGAGGGATCCAAGCTGGGGAGATCGAGATCGAAGAACCAGGTGTACGGGCTTTGGTTCCTGGCAGGATGAAGCGGGAGCTGCTGCGGTTTTAAGATTATTATATATATATAAGCCAGCCTGATGGGATCTGAGTCGAAGACTATGAGAGGGAGTTGACTTCACTCTAGACCATGTGAGGCTGGTGAGCACGGTGTGGGATGTGACAATTTTCGAAGGCATGTCTGAGCAGTTGCGAGGAGGTTGAAATAAAATATTCCCTTCACCCCTCGTGCTTTTTTGACAACTGAAACGCACACAACTTACACACTCCACACTCACACCTAGGGATGAAAACGGTACGGATATTTTCCGACCGTATTCGAAACCGAATCCGTTTAGAGAGGTTGAGATCTGTCCGTATCCGAGTCCGGATATCCAACATCCGATACCGTATCCGTATCCGAATACTCAAATCGCATATTTATGATGTCGATATCCAATCATATCCTATCCGACATAGTTGACACTATCCGTATTTGAATCCGAATCCGGACAGAAATATGAAAACAAATGTAATATCGGTGATATCCGTCCGTATCCGATCCGTTTTCATCCCTAATCACACCACACGCAAAGAAGAGATTGGGAGGCATCACCTCCAGTGCGAGGGAAACGCGCAGTACCACCGAACGAGCACGCGTGCGTGTACCCTACAAATTCTGGAAAATTTCCAAAAAAAGGTGCGATCATCAGAGTTTGAACCCTGGTGGATAGCGACCCACTGGACAGCCCTACCACTAGACCACAGGTCCATTCGCCCTTCACCCCTTGTGCGTCTACACGATTACACCAAGTTCCAAGAGCAACTGAGCAAGAGCGAAGTTGCTGACGTTGTTCGTCTAAACGGTGGTTTAGTCTGTTTAAACAACATTTTAAAATCTCTTTCTTATTGTTTTATTCGTATTTTAATTTTTTTTATCATGTTCGTTCTTATTTGGAACTTCTCCTTGTTCTACTCATGTTTTGAGAGCCGCCTTTTTTCGAAATCCACTTTCTTTTGAAACGTTTCCTTTTAGAAATTAGAAAACCTTTCTTTTGAAGTCTTGCTTTGAACAACTTTCTTCTCAAAATCCCCTTTTTGAAAACTAGCTATATACTTCTACCACTATGAGCCTTCCCGAAACCTAAGCTTCTTCGATCGATCCCCGACCAACTCTCCTACCCACCTATAACATAAAAAAAAGCCTAGCCTACCCTTGTTAAACCCCTCCTATGTTAGGGCCCCATAAAGCATGTCTACAACCTACTACAATGGAAAAGAGGGAAGAGAAACAAGATTCGCGTGAGTTCACTTTTTTAGTTGCAGACATCGTTGAACTATACATGTCGCTGTCATTAGGGTGGGTTTAGACATCTCATTGCTTGTCCACACCCAAACCCAAATAATCATATCCATCCCTCATCCTTCCTAAGAGCATCTCCTATCCTCTCCAACTCGCAAGTTTTCATAGTCAAGAGGAACTTTAGTTGGATTGGGTTTCTTGTGGTGGAACCTACCTACCCATTTTAAGGTTGCTATTTATTCTGTTAACTTGCTAGATCTATTATTTAGCAAGTAAACTATACCAAACTCTTGGAGATGCTCTAATATCATCCAGCCAAACGCCCAAACCTAAAAGGTAATGATGATCAAACTAATAGGATAGGGGTGTTTGGATTAGAGTACCAATTGATCATCTTTGGGTACTAGTAAGTATACCCATATTCTACCCATTTCTAAATCCATATCCTAGTCATTTGACGATGTGGATGTGGGTACAAATATTGAATACCCATCAACAGCATAGTGGAACGATGAGTATGGTCACTCCTATGGCCCTAGGGGCGCTTGTAGCGTAGGATCAAGATTAAGACAAAAGAAAAGTAGTCTTTCCTGCTACTAACCTAATTACCTAAAAGTTTGCCAAGAGTGGATTCAATGACATTAACCAAAGTTGGACATACTTGACTCACGACAAAATAAAAATATCAAACATTTAGAGATGAAGGGAGTATCTCTTTGAAACAAACAACTAGTAACAATACTAATAATGCAATATTATAAATTGGCATCGGAGCCTTTGCAACCATCCAGCATAGCAAAAGTTCAATACAGAATAACATTACGGTGTCATACAAAGACATCAAAATTTAGCAGGGATGAGATACAGGAGGCTATTGAGTATTTGAGTTGCATACACCTTCCAATTCAACAGAAAAATATAAGCTGATAAGAAAATATGGGCGGTTCACTTATAATACAATAGGGACTTTACTTTAGATGCAGTTCCACACAAAAAAGATTGGCAGTCTTTTCATGGAGCTAATGTGAGAAATAACTGGAACAAGGCAGGCTGACGCAGGTAACTACTTCCTTGAGGCAAAGGCGGAGAGCCATGTTTTGGCAGTAATTATTGTGAACATCTGCCTATGATTCAGCTGAAAAGTGAATGTGATGCTATACAATGTCACTAACTGAAGAAAACATGGAATTTGAAAAGGATGAAACACACATGAGCAGACGCAACTTACAAGATTACTGCTGAAGAAATAATGATAATCCCCCTAGATGCGGATCTCTGGAACATGCTGCATCTTTTGTTTCATGCCCTTATTGTTCCATTGAGCTTTGAAGTACTCGTGGAGACCAAGCAACCAAAGCTTCTTAAGACGCTGACAGTTTTCAATTCCTTGAGGGACTGTAGCTAGCTTTGGTAGCGATGTAATGTACATAGCCTCAATGACTGGAAGTGAACCATGTCCAATGTCCAGAAAACACACATCATGCAAACCCATCAAAACAAGTGTCTTAAGGTGAGTGAAGGAGTCAGCAGGAACAACCAATTTGTGTGTACTGTTTATGTTGTTGAGTCTTAGATAGGACAGGTGCGGGGCATGTGATGCGAGGAACACCAATGGATCTTCTCCCCCAAGGTGACAATGGCTAAGAGCTAGATACTTAAGATTTCCCCCATGGTGCTCAAACATTGGGCACTTCAGTGTTCTGCCAGCCCAACAACCTCTGACAATCAACCTCTGGAGCTTTGTGGAAGTTGGTTTGAGATCCTCAAAAGAAAGTGGCTCGTTCCCATTAGTAGCAGAGAGAAGCAAGCTATCAAGAAGCGGCATCATTGACAAAACCTTACAAATCTTGCTACAATGGGCAGCACTTATGTTTTCAATCCACACGCTCCTTAGTTGCATCATATTCTCCAGCTGCTCAGCCAAGTAAATACTTGATTGCACTGTCTCAAGAGTTTGAAGTTCTTCCAGATTTGAAAGCCCTTTAGGTGCCTCCACTCCAACAAAGTACCGGAACTCTGACTGCTTCACGTCAGCATATCTGTCAGCAAGAATGTGCCTCAGCTTAGTGAGCTTCACAATCCTATGTGGCAGATTTCTAATATTGGTTGACTTGACATCAAGAGTCTGAAGATTGATGAGATTCTCTATAGATTCTGGCAGTACGCTTATTCCTGTATTTCTCAGACCAATGTAGCGTAGATTAAACAGATGACCAATTGATGAAGGTAATGTGGTGACTCCTGAGTCTTGCAATTCAAGGACAGTAAGGTATTTGGATTCAGATAATATTGAAGGTATAGACATCACAATGGTTTCACTTGCCATTAGCGTCCGCAGGCGTGGAAATTTCATCTTGGATGCATCATTTTTCATCTTCCTCCATCTAAATGCAGATAAGCGACGTACATCTCTATCCATTTGAATTACTGCACCAAAATCATTAACAATACCAAACATCTCTACTTTAGAGATTGTAAGGGCTAACTCTCTCAAGATATCATGCATTCTGCATGTACTCACCCCACCAAGTTCATCATTATCAACAACTTGCAACATGTTTCGATGGATCAGTTCCATGAGATAGCCCTCTGCAACTTCCTCTAGTGTACTGTTCCCTTTCTTTACTACAAACCCTTCTGCAATCCATAGTCGCACAAGCTTTTCCCTTGGCAAGGGATAATCTTCAGGGAACATGCTGCAGTATAGGAAGCAATTTCTAAGCTCTCCTGGCAAGTCATAGTAGCTCAGACTTAGAATTCCACGAACCTGTACATACTTCTCTAGTTCAGAGGGAAGTTGATCATATATCTGCTTCCAAACTGGCAGAATTAGCTTCCTTGTAGAAAGTAAGCTTCCTATAGATACAATTGCCAAAGGCAAGCCCGCACATTTCTTTGCAATATTAACAACTAGCACCTGCATCTCTAATGGGCACTTGGCAACTGGCAGGGCCACACTTTTCTTTGCAATATCATTAGCTAGGTCCAGGAGTTCTGATGAGCTTTTTGCCATTGACAAGCCCTCACATTTCCTTTTAGCATCATTAGCTAGCTCCTGAAGCTCAGCTGGGCACTGCTCCAGCAATAGGGCCTCAAATTTCTTAGCAACACCAGTAGCTAGATCAT